GCAATCTGGGGCGCAACCTCGGCGGCACCTGTACGAAGTTTTAGTCTCTGATTCACCCACATATTCTTCCACGGAGAGCGGGGGTACAACGTACGTCGAGCATCACTGGCTCCGCACCCCGAAGACAGGAGAACGCAGGGGCCGATGCTGGTCGCGAGATCGGTGCCGGAGCGGCATAGACACGCAAAGTCGGTGGAGCTGCAGCCAATGTCGTCGGCGGCGCTGACGAGGCAGCTGACGGCGCACCGTGGGAGCTGGTCGACGAGACCGGGGAGAGTGTCCGAATTGGTGCCGGAGCCGGAGCCGGAGGTGGACTGACTGTTGGAGGCGGAATCAGTGGGGGTGGCTTGCGGGGCGACACCGGAGGCGATGTCCGAGACGATGCCCTGGGCCCAATCGGGAACCTCGGTGGGGAGGGAATCGGGGATCTCGACGTTATCGGGAATGTCGATGCTGTCGGGCAATTCGATCTGAGCGGCGGCGATGCCGAAGAGGAGGATAGCCTTGGTGAAAATGGCGGAACGCATGGTGAAGATGACGAATAGTAGTGTTGGTGGTTTTGGTGACGTCTGGGGTTTTCAATGTGGGCGGAATAGTTTTGTGACGTTGGTCGAGGCTCAAGAACCGGGGTATCGAATTGTGAGACACTGGACAAAGAAAGAAACGCTGGGGAGCGACTGTTGGTAGTAGAAAGAAGGCTGAATGGAGCGGGCGAAAAGGTCCAGGAGGTTGGAGAGATGGAGAGATCGAAGAGGTCGTAAGGGAGTTCAGAGAAGCAGGAAGAAATGCCTGAGCGAGAAAGCGAGAGGAAGGTGAGAAGAGTGAAGAGTGGAATGGAATGCAAGCGGAAAGAACGACACAAGTATGAAAGGTTGATAATGCAAGTGCGAGAGCGAGAGAGGTGAAGGTGAAGACGACCTGCAAACAGCAAATGACAGGATCAACGTCTGACAACCCAATGAACGAAAGGAACGAGATGATCTGCGCACCCCCTCCCCCTTGCCCCTGCCAGGCAATGGACCAGCATGTGGGAGATTTGGGAAGTGACCTTGGTGACGTCCCACCCACCGTTTCCGCCGCAGTGATTCATGTTGATTGATGACCATGACCAGGCCGGTGGGGCGCCGTGATTGATGGGCCTGCCTTGGCACGCAATACGGGTGCACTGCCTCACGCCTAGCAGTGGCGCCTAGCAGCCTACCAGCTCCCCAAGCTCCCCTAGAATCCCCGAGCTCCCCTAGAAGGCCCCTGAGCTGGTTGATGCCTTGAGGTGATCGGAACGCACGACCCGAGAGCGAGCATCTGCCAGCCATCCCACACATCACCACACCCTTGAAAGGACGACGCGAGAAATGATGAGGACGTCGACGTCCTGAGGGCATGGGCCTACCAGATTAAGGTGGGTGGAGTTGAAACGCGAAATCTGGAACATCCACAAGAGGGATCATCAAATCACCATCCCTTATCCATGGTGAGGAGGAGGGACAGGTCCCTGGCGTTGGCTCTCCAAGTGACGCGCGGCGCTCTTTCACACGCCCATCGTCAATCGCCCTGCCACGTTCGCCCTGCCACATTCGCCCTCTCTTCCTCCCAGCAGCTCGGCACCCAGCCTTGCGTTGCCACACGCCAGGACTGACAACCCACCATGTCGTCGAGGTAGAGTGCAACCTGAGTCGCGGCATCCCACACTCGCTTTCACAACGCGCAGCCAAGGAGCGAGTTTATATATCAAAGCGGACGGTCCCCCTCAGCCCGTCAAGGCGTGGAACGGAATGCAGATGACGTGAGGTCCCATTCGCAACTCAAATAAGCATCTTGCGCAGTACGCTTATGTCATCGCGGTACATGCATGCAGGTGACGCATATGTCACAGAACCCTGCATATGAGGTAGCCCCATATCATCTCCCACAAAGCAGCCCCCACGGCGTTACCTTTACTACCTATATATATGATACATAAATCTTTCAATATTTATCATTTGCGCGGTTGAAGCATGAAATTCAAACATTGAGGAAGCTGACTAAGTAGTTGATATAAGTTGGAGTTCAAAATTTGGTAAGAAGTAGATGCGCACAGGTGTGTGGCCACGGCTCTAGTGCAGCTAAAGGTAGAGACCTGATTCGGGGACCGCGTAAGCGTCACGTCAGGAATACACAGTAGAAGCTTTATGGATTTTGGGGTATGTACTATCCGAGTATGCAGGCAGGCTGCATAGGCTTATATAGACAGGAGCATATGTGGTCGTTGACGAAACGGCCAGGGGATCGAGTACAGTAAAGTCAAAGAATAAATGATAGAGACTGCGATCTAATGAATTACGGCCACTTAGTTGATGAATACCTGTGATGGGTTATACCCGGTCAAGCCAGTAGCCTGGAACTGGGTCTAAGCAGCTCAATCGCAAAGAAGCTTGTGCACTAAAGCAGCATACCCCTCCAGGGGGAGCATGCAGAATCCCAGCTGTTGGACTCTGTCTTGCCATTTTATCTCGTGATAAATTGTTTCGGGCCTCGCTTTGGGAGACGCGCAGTGGCAGGCTCCTGACAAAGTCTCAGTGCGAGTGCTCGGCTGGCCGACAACTACGTGACCCTGGTTCGGGCTCTTGGTCACATCCTTACGAAAACGAAACCATGTAAGTATTAACTTGCTCCATCGGCCGGCTGTGCTGCATAACATGGCTGTGCAAATAACAATGGCTGGTGTTCCTATTTCTACTGCTAAAATCCAGATTCCTCATCTAGGCCTGAAACCCGTGTTTATACCGTCCTTGCCCTAGTGTAATATCCATACATGGCCAAAACAAAGTTGAAAGAAAATTTCGAGGCTGCCTGTACCTTATGCCATTCTCTCTGTCACGTACCATGGTGCTATTCCGTCTGTAACAGACCACGCTATTTGTTGGACCCTCTTGCTCTCTGGCCTATTTAGGCAAGTGCCTCATTGCTGATCCTAGTTCCCTTGCTCGACGATCGACGACCCAACGGCAAGTTAAGCCCGACAAGTTCGAGACCATTCTTCGCGGTTGTCATCTCGCCGCGCAGTAGTATACCAATTTCGGCGGGGTGGTACCAGTTCAGCCACACCATAGTGCCGAACATGAGCAACGCATCAAACAAATAGATCCAGACCTCGTGGCTGATGAGATATCCGCCGTTACCCTGATGGTATTCGATAACACGGAATGCGCTGCGGACCCAGACGAGTCCACTCGCAACGTAGATGGCGCGTAGGTAAGCCTCCCATCGTACGTGGGGCATCGCAGCCGTGGCCGTGGGTGCGCGCCTCATGCGCCAGTGAAAGAGGCCCGAGACGAGCACAAAGGTCCCGAAGAAGCAGAGCTGGATGTAGAGACCGATGATTATCACCTTCTCGCCCGTCTCAAACCCGTCGTCGGAGCTCATGATGCCGCCGCCGCTGGACTGGGCAAGGAGTGCGAGGATGTCGCCCCCAACAAACAGCTTCGTGAGCCAGCGGCGGCGTATCGGAGAGTAGAGCTCACCCTCCGTCAGGAGAATAATGCGACCAAGTATCATATAGATCGAGGCGGCCATGAGGGCTGGGCCGATGAGAATAAGAACTGATTGGATGACAAAGGCACCCAGCGACCAACAGCCTGGCTCTTCCCCGGCGCCTATGGCACGGCCGATGTAGCCTACGACTTCGCCTGCGTGAGAAAAAGGAAGCGGTCAGCAGAAGTCCCTTCAGTTGCCGCACTGGCATGGCCTGCCTGTCAAGGGATGGGTGAGGGTGTCTTACATAAACCACCACCAACAAATGCAGCCATGTACCACGTCTTGGTCTTGATCATTTGCAGCATATGGAGGATTGTGGTCATGCTGAAGAGTATGATGAACAGAACGGCGGCACCCGTGTTTGGATCATAGCGGTAATAGGCGTACTGGGCGTCCTTGTAGTTCGGGTCGCATTCACCCATCGTGGTGTCAGTGTTGGTCTCGCAAGTAGGTGATGAAGAGAAGGAGAGTTTGAGATGGCTGTGATACAAGATAGAAAGGATAAATCAGGTCTGAGGAGGCTGTCCTTTTATTATTTGCCAGAGGCAAGCAAGGCAAGGACGCATCATTGGCCTTACAGGCGCTGACTAGGTCTGCATCAATTCCTAGGCACTCGGGTCCCGACTTTTTGCTCTGTCACATTGCTTCTCATCGACTTCGAGATTGGTGAGTACTACTGGATTCGCATTATGCGTCTGCCGACGCCTCCGGAAACGCGTGTTCGGGTTCGCGTTGTTCAGCTTCTGAGCAAAAGTGGAGAAGACTCTGAGTTATCAGGGCCTTACGGACTCATTCGCGGATCCGAATCCTCGGTCAGATATTGATTCATGCTAGGCTTCGCAATGCCGCCGTGGCCTTGCCAATGACCAACTTTGGTGTGGTACATTGAGCGTCCAGCACTGCCCCAGACCCAGCGTCCAGGCCTGGCACGAAAGGATCTTAAATGGATGCTCGCTATCTCTGGTCTTGAACGGCACGTATCAGAATCCCGCGACACGCTTGGTCGACTTCCACACTGACTTGTCAATAGCCCTACCTTTCAAAAAATGGTCGGCTAGCCTGGAGATGCGTCTCACTGATCGTCTCGGTCAATCTGAAGGGCCCCATGCGTCCAAAAAGGGCCCACACAGGTCTCGCAAGGGCTACAAGAGCCGCGACATAGGAAAGTCAAGGTAAGTCGATTAGCTTTATTCTGCTTGGCCTGAAGAAAATACGTCATTATCTCCGCTCACTATAAGCTCTTAAGCTTATCAAGGTTGGGCGTCGTATTGATGTTGAGTTGACACAGATACCTAGATACCCGTCTTTAGATCGTGTTACTGGCACCATTCTTCGGCAGTCTCCTTCACCCATTCTCCGATGGGCTGGAATCCATGACGAACTCTCATCGTCCTCGTGCCAAAGTTTGGCCAAGACGGAAGAACATCGTTGCGCAACTCAAACCCCCAAAAATTAAATCAAGTCCAGGGCGCGACTCAAGCAATGGGATAAATTGAGATACCAGTCTTCCATCTCTACGCCCAGCGCGCGAACCCAATCGAGGGCAAGGCTCCATACTGACACTTCTACTTGGATCTTCTATCACCAGATTTCGTGCAGCTGGCCACCTGCTGCATGAAATTGAATACTCCAAATCGGATTGCAGCACAAGAGGGGACATTAAAAATGCTATTTCTCCTATCATTATACTCACCAACCTCATCATGGCCCGGTGGCCCATCAAAGTCTTCGGACGGGGCTTTTTACCAGGGTAAGAGCTCGTCAAGTCCATGCTGCTTGAGATAGGTGTTAACTTCCCGCTGCGTATTTTCCCACAGCCCGGCTCCGAGGGCCGGATCCTTCGCCGAGGGGTGCAGCGGTGCGACCTGTCCGATGGGGAGCAGAAACCGGCCCGCGAACTTCTCCGGCTGGCTTCTCACTTCATTCGCTGTGGCCGCGAAGAGCAAATTCTGTGCGCCTTCGGTGGGTGTTACGGCAAAGTGACTCGCCAGACCCAAAATCCATGGTTGAAAGACTTCTGCCATGCCTGGCGTGCGGACGGTACCAGGGTGGACGGCCGTAACGATGATGGACCGTGAAGAAAGGGCGTCCTCGGCATTCAGTTGAACGTCGTCGCTGAGATGCCTTTGAAGTTCCTGGGCATAAAGGGCATTGGCAAGCTTCGTCACGCCGTAGGCCGTCACGTCTAGGCGGATGAAGAGGGGAGATAGCCAGCGGTGAGCCCAGGGACGGTACGGGATGGGGTTTTTGAGGGCGTCGGGACCCGCGAAGTTGGGTACGTAATTGGCTGGTAGCATACTTGACTGAGCAACCGAAGAAACCACAACGATGCGAACGTCGGCGTCAGAGGTACAAGTGGTCGACTTGAGCAGAGGCAGCAGAAGATTATTTAGGGTAAAGTGGCCGACGTGGCTGCTTCCTCATTAGTCTACCCGCCGTGAAGCGCGACAACGGAAAGGTAGGCGACCAAAGCGAATACCATACCTGATAGCAATGTTCGGCTCCCAGCCTGCCTCGGTGCATGCGGCACTAGGGACTCCGCAGGCGTTGTTCACTGCCAGGCCGAGATGTCAGCGGAACTTGTTTGAGATCTGAATTTGACAGCAGGTCGGACAGACCGACGATATCGAGGCGCGACTCGTGAGCCTTGATGTAGTTGGCAGCATCGACGACGGTCTTCAGGTCGCTCAGGTTCAGCCCAACCCAAACGATTTGCTCTTTGCGAACGTCAGGATTGTCTGCAAGAATCTCGGAGATGGCATTTCGAGCTTTCGACTCGGTACGCGCTGCCATGTAGACCTTTGCGCCGCGTAGCGCGAGAAGTCTGACCGTCTCAAGCCCGACGCCGGAGCTGGTGGTGCAGCCTGTAAGCGCATATGTCTACGACAAGAATCTACTCTGGAATATGACTTACTTACCACCCGTTACCAGCGCAACTTTGCCGCGTAGGTCGGAGCTGTGTTGGAGGAAGTCCCAGGTCGAAGACATGGCGGGTTTTGTTGAAGGTCTTAAAGCCCTGATTGAGTTGGTCCAAAATTGGCTTCAAGCTGAGCGATTGACTTGCTTTGAGCATGGCTACATGGAATGGTCATGGAACGTGGATTTCTTGGGCGACAAGGCTCTGTTGTTCTTATAGGAATGCGGCCCTATAACACCTGCCACGAGTCCGTCGGGCTTTTCCCTGCAGCCCCTAGCCATGTGCCGTCTTTCAGACCGGAGCTGGGAAATGTACTCGGCCTGTATCTGAGGCTACGACAAATACTTGGGTCGTTCGAATCAAGAGTGTGCATTTCCCTACATTTTGTAGCAGGGTCATCCTGGCACTGATGGGCCCCAAGCGATGGCAGAATCTCTAAAGTTGACCGCTTACTCAAATAAGGCAATGCAAGTCTTGGCAGGCTATCGTAGCTCGTCCTCAAGTGGATCACATCATGGTCATGGCGCAGTCCAACAAGCTCGTGACTGTTGAGACCTTGTCCACAGTGCTTCACATCTTCACCATGGCAGTAGACTAACGGGCACAACGCCCCTGCTACACGACCACAAGAAGTACCCCGCGCAAAAGCGCGTCATGTCGCCTAATGGATTCCAATTCGTCTCCGTGTCCAAACCAGCTGAAGTTGCGAGCCATCGCAAACAGGTGCGTGCTCATGCAGCCAGGAATACTATGGTGCGGCGTGACAATGTTGCAAAGTACCAATCTCTACGACAAAACAAGCCGGTCCTCGAAGCAATAGTAGCAGAAGATAAGATTCGCACCCCGAACGAGTCTATACGTCCGTTCCGAACGACCTGCGATAATGACTGCCAGGATATGGATGTCTGGCGTTCCAGATACATCTCCCCCAGCCCAGTCACCCTCCTGAGCCCTGTGCAGCATGACCCCTTCCAGAGCTTTATCCGCCCCATGGCACCATTCGAAGGTTACCTACTCAAGCACTGCAAGTAGACGCAAATATGAATCGATTATTCCGACGCCTCTAACTGTTGCCAGTTGTCAAGCATATCGTCATGGACGGCGTCTCCGCCAAGCCCTGCATGCGTCACCTTACCAACCAATCCTTCGAGCTCGGCTCTGGCGTTGCCTGGATGCAAGAATCCGCGGTGGACATGAGTATGCTCGCTCTAACCCTTCTTGTTGCCTGCAGGAGCCTGGCAAAGTTGCAGCATTCCAACGCATACGACCCAATTGCCCTGCGATACAAGGTGCAGTGCCTTCACCACCTGAATCTTGCTCTCAGCCACGAGGGCGGCGAAATAAGCGACATGACCATCACCAAAACCCTGGTCTTGGCTTCGGAAGAGGTTAGTATTCACATGCGTAGTTACCTTATCGACCTCCGGGTTGACGAATATAGGTCTTTTCTGGAAACAAGGCAGCTGCAGATCAGCATCTTCAGGCCGCTGTACACATGATCAACTTGCGCCGCAGTCCCGCCACGGTTAATATATGGAACCACGACGAGAACATGTCTCTTTGGTCGCACTGGGCTGGCGTCACCGCTAGAGAGTCTGTCATGAATGTGGAGAGAACGAGAGCATAATGAGCGCCTCTGGCAAGTCATGATACTTTGCCAGTAAACGATACTGAAGACTGTTACCAAGCCTCAGACGACCGACGGAACAAACGAACTCCATTGGTTTTTAGTAAAATGACACTGAAACTTACTTATTCTATGTATGTAGTATCTGATATGCCATGCTTGAGAACTAGAAACAATTTATTTCTTCTTATTTCTAGGACCTTGGTATGTACTAGAAAATTTCACCGCTCATTCTTCCTAGATACTTGTAAAATTTCTCAGTATTATCTTTCTCCCTAGTTATCCAAAGCCATATAAGGGTACCTAGGCCTGGTTGTAAGATATTAATGGGCTGAAGAAAAAGAGGGTCTTCGGCTATGAGCGCAAATTGACACATGTCGCTTATGCGTTGCTCACACCTGGCATTTGTCATGTGGCCATGGTCAACTGCCTCGACTTGTTCATCTCTCGATTCAACCTCTTGTGCTTTCTCAGCTAGGTTATCCCAAGAATCGAGAAGCATGGGGATCTTGATGGCAAGTAGCAAGGGGTCCACGACAAGGGACACCGTACGCCATGAATATTTTGTCTGACAAAAGCGCTGGAACTGCGCATGGAACTTGAAATGAAACAGGATCAAGCTGCATTTCATGTTAGCTGTGCCGGTATGCTACAAGGGGCGATTGGATGTCTATCATGTTTCACGTACCGTTGATATGATTCTCGTAGAACTAGTGGATTGATTGATTCGTGAGTAAGAGCCTCGACATCGATTATGTCTTGGTCATATATGCCAGCAAGCTTCAAAACTCTTGCTAGGGATGCTTCTACCATGATACCAGTAGGAATGATACGACCTGTCAGGTACGGAACCATGATGACCTGAAGTAGAATAGCTTGTAACTCGAACATCTGGGCCGGCAGCAACGTAAGTGGCTTCATAGTGGCCTGGGACTCCATAGACGCCTGTAGAGCTGTCAGTTGCTTCTACAAAGGAATGAAGCATAAATTGGAAGGATGAATGATCGAGTTCAGAGAGCCTAGCAGACTTCTCAATTTCGTAGCATGCTTCACTAATGAATTTGTACTCACGAGTTTGATTCCGGACTGTTCAAGAAATCTTTCCAAAGTAGAGTCTGCTAAGGCCTGGGCTTCCAAATTATCTGACAAATGCAATCCTACCGTAACCACCGTTCTCAATAGAACCTGCGGTACGCTTCGCGATAAAGTAAGTTCCCGGTGGACGATCGGCCAGTGGTGGTGGAACTTGTCGAAATAGATAGCGAGTAGTTTGTCGTACATCAATCTTTTACCAGGGCATTCCGGCTTGGGAGCACTTAATGCCATACTCTGTTGACCTTCGTGTCCGTCACACTCATCGTTATCAGAGCATTCCAAGTCTTCCACGATTCTCATTGATGAATCCCTGTCGGTAGTTTTCCAAGCCTGTGGCGTCGTGGTCGGAGCGTTATTGCTAGCTGTTCGGTTCAAAAGACTCGACCAACCGCAACGTAATGACCGTGCTGAGCATGTTGAACAGACCGGTTTCTGACCATCACATTTCACCTTTGCTTGGCGACATGGCAAACACGCTTGGGGCGCACGATTCGACGATACTGTGAGGCCGTGAAGGGCCATGTGACGACGGAAAGTGTCCCTAAACAATTTATGAGCTTCTTCATAAACGTTTAGGGAATAATATGTCCTACCGACGTGTCATCTTTGAGCCACATTGTTCACATGTGAACACCGTCGGCCTATCGTGGGACTTGGCATGGCGATTCAGATGTTCCGCTCGCAAATAGACGCGGCCACACCCGGCGTGCTGGCATGTGAATGACATGCTTGAAGGTCCAAGCCGTCAACAAGTATCGCAAAACAGAATAGTAGAGGTCCAAAACTTCTTTGCTAACGTGGTGTAAATGATAGTGAACTGAGAATGCCGGGTTGGTTGGAGGGAGAAACTCTCGTGCATTCTGCTTCAGCTGACCCACATTACTAGGTACCTAGGTAGCATACGCTGCTTTCTAAGCACTGGCTCACAAGACACAGATCCATGAACATGAGATTTCATTACTCAGCAATCTCTTCCCAAGTCTTAGTTTGATATCGGGCTTCTAGCTTCTACGCGGTATAGACGGCGGTGTATACTCCCCATAGGCCTGTGCGTCATGAATGCACCGTTTCGCCGGTGAGACTTCGTTGTTGGGGGTGCGGCATTGTTCCGAATCGCTGACGCTCTCACTCGCGACTCCACTTGTGTGCTTCTTTTGATCTTAATATCTTTCAGAAAAAGTTTAGGTTCGAGGCAGGCAGGTTCTGACGGCTCGGCGCCGTCGTCTTGGTTGGCATGTCTTCCTTTGGCTGTACTGAACTTGGCTGACTCGGCATCCACCAGATTCGGCTATGACGACACCTGTGCGTACAATCTTCTTCACCAATCAGTAAAATCATGATCACTACATACCCCTCAACGCGAAAGGTGCGAACCTAGCACGTTGCTTTGTTATGTATGGAAATCCTTGTTCCCAACACTATATTAGAGTGAACAAAGAATTTGCTTGCCTGCGAACTGGAATTGTAATAGCTGATTCCTGCGGCCGTTGACTACGGCAATCAGGCCGACAGAAACGATCAATAGTAGATTTTCATAACAAAAGGATCATGGGCGTGGAATCTAAGATAATGAAGCCTGATGCAGCATGTACTTGTATTCTGGCCATTCATTGGCCATTTGCTTCAATTCCAAAAGAAATCGTCATATGAGGACTACTACCGAGAATGTTCCGCCGCCCTAGTGTACCAAAGCAGTGTAACGAAACTTGGCGCCATCATGTAGCTTTGAATCAGGAGAAAACAGGCAATTCCTCTGCGTGGAAGATGTCGGCATGACATAGTTTTGTATAAAACACGATCCGCGTCGTCTTTAAGGAGCATGAAGACTCAAGGTGATATTGATGGTAAGGCAGTGCTCCTCTCCGTTAACGGTACTGTGCGCTACCCTGATCCATTTCCTAGATTCGTGACGGACCGTATTGTTCTTTGCTTAAGACTTGAGTTTATTGGCGATTGCAATGTTGAAAGATTCGTATAATGTGTCGAGGGACTCCTTCAACGTTTCGTCATCGAGATCGGACTCTCCCCACCAGATGACCTCGGTTTGTGTTTCGTTTACGGGGGTGAGCTTGACGTTGCCGTATTGCAATGCATCTTGGATAACGCTGATGTCGACTTGAAACCGGATGGTGTAATCCTCGGGGTCGACAGCTACGAGAGTCTCTCTAGTAGTAATACCAGGCCGAGTAGTGAAAAGAAGTTCGCGGATAGAGCCAATGCCGAAACCCTCCAGCGACGAGAAAGTGCAATTGGGCATCCAGAGTTGTTCGGAGCCCCAAGACGCGAGGAGACCCCAGATCCTTTTGACTGGAACGTCCACGACGCTAGCATATCTAGTGACGAATTTGGTGGTAGCGGGCATCTTGAGTTGCTTTGGCGTAAATTTGTGAAAAGTCAAAAGAATAATGATGAGACGGCCTTGTCAAAGACAGCAAATTCCAGGGGTTTTTCATGGTTCTTTAAGGCTGATCGCCCCTTAGGTGGAATTGTCAGACAGCATCCGGCATCCCACCCGGTATCCCACCCGGCATCCCACCTGGCACTCCACCCGGCATCCCACTCGGCATCCCACTCACTCGGCCTCCCGCCTATGATGACGAGTGAGCAATGATTCAATATGCACGATTCACGCTGATGGCTTTCAACCTCAGGATTAGATTCCTTCCCTACTTAATATAAAATGCTTACAATGTCTTGTTCCTGCACTCCATAGTGTAACATGCCCTTCAATCATCTTCACCGTGTTCTTTGGCTGATCAACTCATTACTTTAAGATATCATCAGATAAACTCGCTCACCAATCATACATTCTTCAGCAGGTACGACCATGCGCACTCCAATAATCTTGCCCTTTCTAACTTAATCTAAGCTTAAGTCCACCCATTTGGAAACGACATGCCTCCCAAACTATCTCTAGCGACCCGGACTGTTCACGCTTCCATCGGGCAAGTCTGGGGGATTGTGGCTGCCTACGGAGGAGAGTGTCTCTGGTTTCCGAACGTGACGAAGTCGACGCTCGAAGGATTCGGAGTTGGGTCTACTCGCTCGCTCTGGTTCGAGAATGGTCCGGACGGGAAGGAAGCGTGGGACGATAAGCCTGTGCGTGAGCAACTTGTACACGCTGACGGCGCAGCCTATTCCCTCCGTTGGCAGATCTTCAACGACAACATTGGCGAGGTGCTGTCCTTTTCCACTCTCAAGCTTCATGCCATCAGCGACAATACCACGGAGATAACCTGGTCTGGAGAGACAACCTTCCCTGACGGGCCGGAGCGGGAGGGTCTCAAAGTATTCATTGAGGCCATGTATAATGGAGCCATGGAGGCCATTGCGAACAAGTTGGAGCAGTAAACTGGGGAGATGGAGCAGCACGAATTGTCGTGTTTTTCGAGAGGAAATTGCTGCTCTCTCAAAGGGGTCTCGTGGTCAGTGCAGGTAGCAAATGAATCATCGTTGCCCTTCTCTCCGACGTAACTCTATAAACTATACACAATACTGGTTTTCTCCCTGCGTTCAGCTCTCTTCCCGACCCTCTAAGATCAATTAATAGGCGTTCCCCTGCCAGTCCTGTGGATGGCACCTACTCAATACTTGCAAACCCGAATCAGGTGGCGTATGTGATGAGAATACCATCTCCTCGTTGTGACTATATGTCTTATTCAACAATCATCGCTAGCTCTGTCTAGGACACCCTGCACACGTATCAAGCTGAAGAACGGCTCAAGCTTTTCGTGGGCTACTAGAGGAGTTCTCGGGGCCTGGTCGCCCGGCAGGACTTCCGCAGCCTGGCGGCGCACTACTTTGTACTAGGTGCGTCATCGAATACTCGTTAGTCTAGATGTTTCCTTGGTTCATGGGGCCAGGAGCGCAGGGGCATAACATGGGAGTATAACGGGAGGACTTCGTAAAGACAAGAAAAGACGAAAACGACTCCAGAGGTAAATCGACCTACTCATGCATGTTTGAATAGAATCTGGCATAATCGATGGGTCAGGTCCAATTGGACCATATGCTTCCTTATCGACCTGTCCCCGGAGTTCATCATGAGGGCTATGAAGGTATGCTCCTACCGTGACATGACTGTAGGAATGACTCCACAGACAACTGTCTCCTGACATTGGCAGACGTGATAACAAGAGTGACAAAGGAGCGGTGTTCAGTTGTATGGCTAGAGCAAACACGTAATCGTTACTCCAAAGGCGAAAAGCAAGCAAGCGACGATCTGGCAGTGACGGAGACTTGGTGAAAAAAAAGGGCTCCATCATTCGAGTTCGCCGTAGTTTGGATAACGCTAATTCTTTACACTCGAGATATCGAAAGGTAGGATGAAGACGAGCTGCATCGGCGTGTGTTGATCAAGCACCCGATTGTCCCGTTGCTGTCCCTCCAGCAAACAACGTCAGAGTGAACAGCGCAGAATGACTAAACGGGTGATTGCACCAAGGTGGAAGGTCCATCAGTTTCCCCTCTTTTCCCCCCCAGCCTCTCTAGCAAGCCATCTGCTGGTGTCCGGCGCAGCTGCAGTGCCTTGCATGCGCGTACCTGAGTTCGTCCCCGAGACGCAACAGCCCGGGCGGATTGGTGCGTCGCTCGTTTCCAGGCCCCAAAGAGGAAGGAGGTCAAGAGATCGGCAAACAGAGGTAATCTTGCCCATGGTATCACAGCATCAGGACCCCGCTCGTAGGAATGGCTTAATACAGCAGCTCGCCATGTCGTGAGAGACGAATCCAGATCACTCTTGCTTCTCTGATGACACAGTACGACACATTCACGATGAGACACGTATTGGTCGCCAGCCTGGCGGCTGTGGCTGCCGCGTCCCCCTTAGCCATGGCTTCAGACCAGCCACTCAACACACGACAGCAACGTACCCTATCCTGGGCGCTGACGCCGACGAACACCACGGCGCAGTTCCGGGGCCTCGCTGCCGTTTCGGACACGACTGCCTGGGTTTCGGGCACGCGAGGCACCGTCCTCCGCACCGTCGACGGCGGCGCCACCTGGACGTCCGTGGGACCAACGCTGGCGCCCGAAGACGCGGCGCTCCAGTTCCGCGACGTGCAGGCCTTTTCGGCCGCCAAGGCTGTCATCCTATCCATCGGCGAGGGGACAGACTCGAGAATCTACGTCACGGAAGACGGCGGCACGTCATGGGATCTCGTGTTCACGAACGAGGAGCCGACGGCGTTTTACAACTGCGTCGACTTTGAGAACCAGGAAAGAGGTCTCGCCGTTAGCGACCCCGTCGACGGCAAGTTCAGGCTCATCGAGACGAAGGACGGCGGGCGCAGCTGGGGCATCGTCGACCCCAGCGACATGGCGCCGGCGCTGGCGGGGGAGTTTGGGTTCTCGGCCAGCGGGACGTGCATTACGACGGCAGCGGGACGGTGGTACCTCGCCGCGGGCGGGGTGGATCCGGGGCGCGTGTTTCGAAGCGATGACGGCTACGATTGGGACGCATCCAATGCATCCATCACGGGAGCCGAGGCGGGTGGTGTCTTCTCGGTGCGGTTCCGCGACACGAAGAACGGCGTCGCGGTCGGTGGGGATTTCACTGTGCCACAGGGTGCCGAGAGGAATGCGGCGTGGTCAGAGGATGGAGGGCAGACGTGGACTGCGGCCGAGACGTTTCCTCGCGGCTACCGGTCAGCGACGGCATGGGTGGGGGGGCTCTGTAATGTTGCCGTGGCGGTCGGACCTACGGGCTCGGATGTGACGGTGGATGGCGGGAGGACGTGGACGGGGTTTGACGGGGGGGCGTTTGATAGTGTGGAGTGCGTTGGCAAGAATGTCTGCTGGGCTTCGGGACCTTCGGGGCGAGTGGCACGACTGGTGATTGGATGATCTAGATGCGATGATGGGGTTGCAGGTATCGAGATGAAAGTTGGTCCAATGAATTGAAAGTGAAGGGTTGAAAGGTGTCTAATAAGGGTGTTGGAAAGGTGATGATGGTGGACATGGTGTTTCGTTGGGAAGGCCCCGCGCTTTGTGTCACCGCCACGGAAAGCCACGGACAGCCATGGACAGCCATGGACAGCCACAGTTGCTGTTCCAGTAGTCAGCCTGCCGTGGGACAAGCTCCAGGCCCAGACTCCAGGCTCCAGGCTCCGGGCTCCACGATCCAAAAACTACGGGTACCTGGGTACCTGGGTCCGCCCCTCCAGCTCGGGCCAGTGTCTGAAACAGTGCTGTGGCAAGCCCCTGCAGCTGACTGAACGTGCAGTCCCTCACGACCTAAGGTACCTAGTTCCCAAGGCTAGGTGCCCATGGCATCCCCCCCCTACGACAGACACCCCCCAATGACGGCACTGCTAAAGCTTGAAGTCATGTTGACCCCCAGCTCCAGCTACAGCTCCCAGCATCATCAGGCTTAGCTTCAGATCGGATGGCGCCAGGCGCGCTGGCGGGCTGTTCAAGAACACCGGCCATCTCAACACCCGAGACATCAGCACAATAACTGCCCATCGTCCCCTCCATTGCTTCCTCAGCCAACCCGAAACCCGCAGCCCTGACTGTTGTCATGATCATGACCGACCACCACAGGACTCCCGCTTGATCACTTTGAAGCACAACCTCGTTCCACCTCTTGCTCGGCCCAGCATGGCGGACAATGCGACGCTGGTCGCCGACCCTCACACCAGCTTGCGGGCGCAATTGCTCGAGCCCATCACCGCCGGCCGATTGATCGCAACCCTCCTCGTCCTCTTTGTCGGCTCGCTCATCGTCGACTACACATGGAAGCCTACCTATCCCACGTCCATACCCATGGTGGGTCATGGCAGGGGCTTCATTCCGGGCTTCAAGAACTTCTTCGGCTACGTCTTCCACTATCGCGACTGGATCATCGAGGGGTACGAAAAGGTGAGCCTCGTTGTGTCAACGCATTTGTCCTCCGTCACCTGCCTCGTAGTCTTTCCGGCCGCTGACCTGACCGCCACCAGCACACCAAGAACGACCGCGCCTTCATCGTTCCCGCCGCCGTCTCCCGCGCCTACGACATTATCCTGCCCCGCTCTCAGACCGCCTGGCTCCTCGAGCGCCCCGACAACGTCGTGTCTGCGCACAACGCCCACAACGACGTGCTCTACTCCGACTACAACTTCCTCGGCAAAGCACACGCGCGCACCAAATGGTACAACCACGTTATCCACAGGTCGCTGGCCCGCCACCTGCCAGTCATCGTCTCCGGCATTGAGGAGGAGGTCGTGCACTCGACCGATGCCGCCTTTGGGCTCGACACGGACGAGTTCAAGACGATCAATCTGTGGGAGGCGTGGTTGGGCATCGTACCTCAGGTCACGAACCGCATGCTGGTAGGCAACCCCCTGTGCCGCAATGAAGACTTCAACAAGAGCATGGTTGCCTTTGTGGACGCTGTCATCATCAACTGCTTCCTCCTCAACATGATCCCCAAGATCCTGCACCCGCTCTTCGGACCCCTCATCACACTGCCCAACCGTCGCCACTGGAAGAAGGCCTCGAAGCACAGCATTCCGCTCATCGAGCAGCGCCTGCGTGACATGGCACGGAAGGAGGCCGGCGATCCAGAGTTCGAGACGTGGTCGCCACCGGAAGACTTCATCACCTGGTCCATCCGCCTCGCCAAGGCCGAGGGCAACGTGGGCGAGTTGAATCCGGTCAACACGTCGCTGCGCCTGCTCCCCATTCAGTTCGCCGCCATTCACACGACTGTCCTCACGGGCCACAGCATGATCCTCGACCTCCTGACCTCGAACCCAGACGCCGAGTTTATCGAGGGCCTTCGCGAGGAAGCCGCGCGCGTGCTGGCCGAGGAGGGCGGCCATTGGACCAAGTCGGCTCTCTCGCGTCTGTATCGCCTCGACAGCGCCATTCGCGAGTCTCAGCGACTCAGCAACTTCTCTGCGACCCTCGTCGAGCGCGTTGTTGTCGCCAAGGAGGGGATCACCAACGAGGCCGAGGGCTGGCACGTGCCGCAGGGGTCGTACATCTCCTTCAACCTGCAGGGCCTGCATCACGATGGAGACATGTACGAGAAGCCGGATGAGTACGACGCTTTCCGGTTCAGTCGACAGAGGGAGGTGTACGAGGCGCTGCCGGCGGCGGAAAAAGATCCTGACGAGGGGTTGAGGTTGAAGAAGCTGGGCATGGTAACGACGAGCGATCACCACTTGGCGTTCGGACATGGGCGGCATGCGTGGTGAGTCTTTCGGACCGTTTATCACAGGGGATGAAAAGCTGACAGAGTATAGTCCCGGTCGGTTCTTCGTGGCGCATGAGCTAAAGATGGTCATTGCCCATCTGCTACTGAACTATGACATTGCCCCCTTCGAGGGCGAGAGACCAAAGCCCAAGTGGGTCGGCGCAACTATCATCCCGCCGGTCGAGGTGACTATCAAAGTGAAGAGGAGAAAGGGCACCGTCCCGCAGGCGTGAACGGACATGACGACATGAAAATCTGGCGTGGACGCACATTTGTGAAGTGGATATCACGTTTTGCTTGAACTTTGAGGATTCACATGCTTAATACATGTCAAGTCGATCATTCTTGTGCATCCAGCGACTCCATTTCTCTTGTGGTGCTCTGTTTGGTGTTCGCTTCTGTCAGCTCGTTGCGTCCTTGGTATTTAAACTCAATTCTCGCATGACATCTTTCACTTCTGATATCTGACTTGTAGCCATCACGACGCTGTGATCCAAGTTGAAAGCTGGCCTGTAATTCATCTTGCTTTGTCTCAATGAAGGTTATTGCCCCTCTTCTTGCGATCTTATTTACCATCTCTTTGGTGACGGAACCGATACGGTAGTGATCCTTCCTTGATCCTCAGACCATAAGCACATCAGTCAAGCTGTAAGACGCACTATCTTGCTATGATGTTCCAGTCAGACCTACATCTCCCTCGGCTCGTGGCGCCTGAGCTGTGTGGTGGAATGAATGACATGTTGATCTGTCTCTTTCTAGTACATTGTCATACATGCATGCATAGTCCTCGACAGCCTGCTCTCCTCTGGCTGTAATCTGGTATGTGTCAAGATGCTCTCGGAGATGTACATGATGGAGATCCAACGTTTCCTGAGGGGTCATTGTCTTCGTGATGATGGTGTACAGAATTAGGCTGGCCTATTTATCGGCAATAGGTATATGCATGAAAAGGCTTCACGAATCCACA